GTTAACCAACAGCTTGATATAAGGTTTTTATTTTCTTCTCATACAATAAAGGATCACTAATGCGCTGCATTCTGCTCTCATTAGGCCGGTCAGTACGGTGTTGCTCAGACCCGGCGCAGGGCCATCATCCTGGCTGCTGCTCCGGGAGAGAAGCTGCCACGCTATCCTGAGCCTCTGCATGTGTTTGCCCCCAGAGCTTGCTCTCTCAGCGTTGTGGTGGGTGAAAAGAGATACGTCAGCAATGTCACACGGTAATGTAAACCCTTTCCCCTTCTGGGTTGCTTATATTGTATTTTTAGGTTGCAAATCTTTCTCACAAGACATTAAAGCATCATTGTCACTAATTTCTGTCTACAGAGGCAATGGTGGAATCTACAGAACTATCACTGTCAGGGATACCATGTCTGACCTGCCAGAGATTCGCAATGGTGCAGCTGCACTGGAGATTTCCTACAATGGGGAGCCCCAGTCTTGGTTCCAGAGGCAGATCAGAGGCACACAGTACCAGCCTATCCTCAGAGATCATATCTGCAAGGTGAGTTGTGGTGTTCTCATGTTGGCTCACTCTTTCAGTCATTAAAGAATAACTTTATGACAGAAGTTACATGATCTGCATTACAGGATATGAGTGCACTGGTTGAGGGTCGGATGCGTTACATCCCCTTGGCTCCAGGCTCCGACTGGAGGGATCTGCCCAACATCGAGGTGCGACTGAAGGATGGCACCCTGACTAAGAAACTGCGTTACACACATCATGATAAGAAGAATGGGCGTAGCGGCACCGGTGCACTCAGAGGTGTTTGCACCTGTGCAGGAGGTATGCAGGACTTAAAAAAAAAAAAAAGTTGTAGAGCTTAAATCTCCATCTGGGATACATCTCTTATAGTTTCCATGCAAATGTCTTTTTAGGTAAGCCTTGTGACCCTGCAGACAGGCAGTTTAATACCCTGATCCCCTGGTGTTTGCCCCACACCGGGAACCGCCATAATCACTGGGCGGGACTCTATGGCAGGTTGGAATGGGATGGTTTCTTCAGCACAACAGTCACCAATCCTGAACCAATGGGCAAGCAGGTACGCAAGTTTGTTTTTTGTTTTTGTTTTTTTTCAGTTTGTTTACATTAAACATTCCTTCAAATTTATTTAATATAGGAGTGAAAAAACAGAGTACTTGCATTTAAGTCTTAAGCTAATTTGTGCTTCAGGAAATGGTTTACACTTCTTAAATGAAAGAAACTGACCTTAGGCTCTCTTGATTACAGGGCCGTGTACTCCATCCTGAGCAGCACAGAGTTGTCAGTGTGAGAGAGTGTGCACGCTCTCAGGGGTTCCCTGACACCTACCGCTTCTTTGGAAACATCCTGGACAAACACAGACAGGTACAATCTGGAATCACAATACTTTTCTTAATCCCTGAGAAATTTTTGTGGTTACAGTTGCTACAAAGAAGGTAAGAGTGGCAACAGTGACTTTGCTACGAGTTTTAGTCACAATATTGTACAAGTCACGTGAGGGATGACTATTTTCTTTCAGGAGATGTTGCTTGGTCAGGCTTGCAGAGACATTTTAGCAGGAATCTAGCAAAGTATAAACTTTGAAACTGCTTTGTTTTAGTACAGTTTTTATGTCTGTGAGAGGCAATAAATTTAGGTGATGGGGGATAAATTAATGTGTTATTATTTTCGTTTGTTACATAAATGATAACAAAAATAAGCAGCATTTTAATTTTTGGCCTTGTCATTTTGGCCTTTATCATCTTGGACTGAGTTGCAGTTCCAAAATGAAGATGTCTTTACTGCATTTCATGAGCTGCCCAGAAACATCTCTCCCAGCTTCTTGCCAAGTAATTGCTTCTGTTTCCTTCCAGGTTGGAAATGCTGTGCCCCCTCCGCTCTCCAGGGCCATTGGGCTTGAGATTAAGAGGTGCATCACGGAAAGGATGAAGGAAGAACAAGCATCAGGTGACTTTCAGTTTAATCGTATGATTATCTTTTAAGATTTGAATGCACCAATCCTCATTCAAGTGTGTGGTTTTGTTTTTTAAAATTAATTTATTTTAACTTACTTACTTTCCCTCCACAGAGAACATTAAACAAGAGAAGATGGAGCTCTCTGATTAAGCGTGTAAAGATTTCATCAAGAATCACTTCTGCAAGTCCTGGTGCTGGTGAAATGATTTCTCTTAAAAGTTGCGATTTAATGGCGTCACCAAGTGGCCGCTATGGACTTTCTATGTAGTACCATTCCACATTGAGTTTTAAATGTGCTTTTAATCATGACGTTGTTGCTGTTGTTGTTAAATGTTCACCTAATGTGGGATAAATTGTATGTAGTTTTTATATGTAATATTTCAAATAAATCTTATGAAATTCTACTTGTAGTTTTCATTATTGTAAATGTACAGCAAGTGTGATCAATATATCGGGAATCAAAGAAAGTGGTGCCAAGTGGTTGAAAAACCTCATCTCTTTGAATTCTGAAGCATTTTGTAAATGAACCTTAGATCAGTGGACACCAGATGTTAAAACATGCAGAGTTTGGTTTTTAACTGTTTAAAGTCTGACCTGTACTAAAACCTTTCCTTGAGCTGCTTGTTCCACAATCTTTGCTGTTACTGAATCTGTTTGGGGTTAGAAATACATTAAAAAAGTAAATATACACAGGGGTCACATATTACAAGACTTTAAAATGAATAGATAAATCCTCCAAATGTCTCTACTGGGTGTAAAATGTACTCCCTGATCATCTAAGAAACTTTGAAATGACAGCTTTTTAACTCATCCTGATAGACAGGAGACTCTAAAACGGGGGTCCCCAATCCCAGTCCACGAGGGCCGGTGTCCCTGCAGGTTTTAGATGTGTCCTTAATCCATCACAGCTGATTTAAATGAATAAATTACCTTCTCAACATGTCTTTAAGTTCTCCAGAGGCCTGGTGATGAACTAATCATGTGATTCAGGTGTGTTGACCCAGGGTGAGATCTAAAACCTGCAGCCCTCGTGGACTGGGCTTGGGGACCCTGCTCTAAAACCTTGTTGGCTTTGCAACCAACCTTGTAGCTGGCATGACAGTCATACAGAGAAGAAACCATATACTTGCAAGTGAAGCACTCATTGTAATCTAATAACTATTCATTATGTCAGTCATAAATTAGTACTTGTGGACTGTGATTTGAATCATTTTAAATTTGCACAGAGTTGTTTTCAGACTGTCTGCACTAAAATTCACAAAAATGGTACAAAAAAGTCCAGTAAGTGGAGCAGGGCTCCTTCCCTGTCTTGTAATTTGCAGAAGTACGAGTATTCTCAGAGGGACTGTTAGACTGCTGGTGTTAAATCGGAACAACAGACGCCGCAACTTGTCTGCAAGTGTGTGTGTGTTGTGTTTTTTTTTTTTTTTTTTCTTTAGTTTGTTGGTTTTTTGGGGGGGCGGGGTTCTTCACAAGACTAGTATGGCTTTTTTGAGTTCTCTTTTCTTGAACAGTACAGGCTAGAATAGATTTGCCTCTGGCTAAAGAAGACTTACTGTATCTGCATCTACCAAAATATCCATCTGTTAATCTCGGACTCAGGAGGAAAGTTCTGAACTTTGATGCACTTGTGAACACATCTGTTGAAGCCATGATGTGGCGGCCCTTCATCTTCAGCTGCATAATCGCATGCACAGGTGGGTCTGTTTTGTTTGTTTGCTTGTTTTTGCTGTGCTTGTTGCTTTGTTATATAGTTACCATATTATATTTCTATAGTTTTAACACAAAGTCCAGTTCCTCTTCAGGAGAAAACCTTCAACCACATTAGCACTGGTCATAAGCTTTTTATTTCTTCAGATTATCAGTTTAATTTAAATCCACTTTATGAAGTCATTATCTAAAATCTTTAGCATTTATCACTTGGAGTCTTTCTAGTGTAAATTTGCTGCCTCCAAAAACAAACAACCCCCAAAAGCCTAGCAGCTGTTATATTTTAGATATTGTCCTATTATTTACTAAGTTGCAGGTCATTAGACATTTGACCAGAAGTCTTCAATCCAAATATGCTACAAATTGCTTCTTTCATTGCAGTAATTCAATGAATGGATCATTATTTAGCAACTCTAAAGCAGCTAAAGTATTTTAGAGACTAAAGTGACCAAATTATATTATAATTTTATATTGGGACTTACTTTTAGTCTGTGTTTGTTTTTATTATATCTATCATTTTTCCTTTATCCTATTTTAAGACATTTACAGATTTTCTAAAAATATTTTAATGTAATTTAGTATGACTTATTCTTTATGCAAAAAAAGTACTTCGCCGTTTCATCTCACTTTCAACATTTAGTTTGTGCCTCAAGGCCTCTGTAGCTCCATCATTATCTCTTAACCTCCAAATCTTCCATTATGTTAAGTATCAGTAAAACTATGAATGTTGTAACAGAGGAACACAAACAATTTCATGGTTTTTACAATAAAAAATATGTCCATCTATATTTTAAATCCAGAGTTATGAACAGTGTGATCAAAAATCAAACCACTCTTGAAACTTAAATGGGAGGGGGCAGTATATTACAACCACCCAAGTTGCAATATTGTCCATGCATCTATTCTTGTCCGCTTATCATTATCAGGGTCACCTATCCCATCTGCCATAGGGCGAAAGCCAGGGTACACCCTGGACAGATCGCCAGTCTGTCGCAAGGCTGACACAGAGAGACAGGCAACCATTTGCACTCACATTAACATTCACCTAACTCAGATGGTAGAGTGAAACTCATCATACGCCTTAAGTCCCTTACTCCCAGTATTATTGTTTTATTTTATTTATTTATTTTTAGGAAAGCTTGTGAGCACTTCCTGTCCATTAGAACTTAGCCCTCCTAGAGTTGTGGTAAGGTTTGGAGACTCCTTCTCAGCAAACTGCACCTCATCATCTGACCAGACTGAAGGAATGGGATGGGAGTCTCCCTTTGGAGGAGTGGACTTTACCCAGGGTGTTTCTTCTCTTCCCTTTAAAATTGACCACATGCCGAATTTAAATGTTGCTGTATCATACTATATGCCTATGTTAAGCTTTCCTGTATCATTCTAGGAAAGCCTGTGAGCACTTCCTGTCCATTAGAACTTAGCACTCCTAGAGTTGTGGTAAGGTTTGGAGACTCCTTATCAGCAAACTGCACCTCATCGTCTGACCAGACTGAAGGAATGGGCGGGATGGGAGTCTTCATATGGAGGAGTGGACCTTACCCTGGGCGTCACTTCTCTTCTGTTTAAAATGGACTCTGTGCCAGCGTGGGAGATAGAAGCAATGTGTTATATGAATTCCCGTGATGGTGATCAGTGTACAAAAGTGTTACCGGTCACTGTTTATAGTAAGTAGCCTTAACTTTATCTGAGCACGCAATTTTTAGTATTCACTGAATAACATGAAAATAACATGAATTACAGTTTTTTACAGACGCTAGGACACATTTCTCAATACTTAGGTCACTTTTGCAAAACTCCTCACACAGTGAGCACAACAGAAGTCTATGTGGGCTAAACTGAGGATCAGTTATCATTGTTTTGGCACAAAATGCATTTAATGACTACATCTCTCAAATTTCATGAATTATCTTCCCACTCAGACACAACTGCCAAAAATCTTTGTACGTACAGGACATTTTGCATGTACTTACATACTGTTTTCAAAACTGTTAAACTTATGGTCAAAACAATAACACAATGCAAAACTTAAAAAGACAGCAAAATTCAACAGCAATATTTTATTGAAACATATTTTAAATCTAAAAATGCAGTTTAACCAGCCACAGCTGATTCTCATTGTAGATGAACATCTGCACAGGTGTTACTCCTTCAATTTTTCAACTCCTTCAATTCTGGCATGCCAGAAGATTCTTTCCTAGGTGTATTGCCCTAGATGACATGAGATGTGATGTGGATGAGAACCTGTGGCCAAATGGAGAAGACCGAGTAGATTAGATTAGCATTACTATTGTATGTGTATCAGTGGATGGTGTGTATACAAATTCTTGTATTTTGGGATTACTTAGTGCAAAAAAATAAAAATACGGTACATAAACAAATATTAACGAATTCTGCATGATGTCTGATTCATTCCAGTAACATATATTGAAATTATAAACAGAGATGTGTCCTTGTTTTACACAAGAAAACGCTGTGTAATGCTACATGTTGTTAGTGTTTTTTAGGTCATTGTTTTGTGGGTGACAAAGTGTGTTTGTCGGCTGTCAACCTTTGCTAGTGTTCTGGAAGAATGAGTTTATTTGAGACCTGAATAAAGTGTTTTGGTAGTTGTAGTGCATTTTGAATGTGAAATGAACTGCTTTGCCAAGCTGAAGGTCAGTTAGGAGGATTGTGTGAAGAGTTTTGCAAAAGTGACCTAAGTATTGTGAAATGTGTCCTAGCGGCTGTAAAAAAAACTGTAATTGTATCCCTTTTTGTTACACAAATGCCAGACAGTGCGTCTCTGAAGAATGTACGTACAGTGGAAGAAGGCCGACAGTTTGCCATACAGTGTGATGTTGTTAATGTTGCACCAGCAAGAAATCTTTCAGTAGTTTGGCACAAAGGAAATAAAATCTTGTCTTCTCAGACATTTGATGAGTCCAGTGTTGTAGAAATTTTAACAATAACCTGCAACACACCCAGTGAGCTTGATTTGAAGTGGGTTTAATAAACACATTGCAATGTGGAGAGAGCATCCCAGTGAAACACCAGGACCATCTCTGAATTGTGGCCATCGCCCTTACATCTTATATACAGACACACAGACAAAGAACATTCCACAAACTTACAGGTTGGCCCCTCTCACGGGGGGGCTATACCTTCTCCCTCACAGAGAATTATGACCTTGTTTTCTGCTTGGCCATCACCTAAGGATTTACATCCCTGATAAGCAGGAGTCCCACTATCTGTTTAACGTCTCCCATTACAATGGCCTCACTGTGTTAACATTCCATAAGCATTCGAACTAGTGATTAAATATGTGATTAATACATGAAAAAACAAATCTGGCACTACACCAGTCCATCCAGTCAGTAAGTCATCTGTCCTCACTCTGACTGCTCATAGAGATGATGATGGAGCTGAGATCTGGTGTGAAGCAAAGCTGAACCTGTGGCCAGACGAACAAGGTCCTCCTCCGGTGCGTTCTGAAGCTCATAATGTGAAAGTTGGGAGTTTGCCTTGTAATCGGAAGGTTGCCGGTTCGAGCCCCGGCTTGGACAGTCTCGGTCGTTGTGTCCTTGGGCAAGACACTTCACCCGTTGCCTACTGGTGGTGGTCAGAGGGCCGGTGGCGCCAGTGTCCGGCAGCCTCTGTCAGTGTGCCCCAGGGTGGCTGTGGCTACAATGTAGCTTGCCATCACCAGTGTGTGAATGTGTGTGTGACTGGTTGTGTAAAGCGCTTTGGGGTCCTTAGGGACTAGAAAAAGCGCTATATAAATACAGGCCATTTTAAACTCCAGCTGATGCTTCTTTTACACTCACACACACTAACTTGTCTTGTCAATCACTGCCATGTCATTGCTGTATACCAGCCATTTCCAAGAGTCAAGAGTGCTGCATCACTAAAACCATAAAATCCTCAATCTAATCAAAATACAACATAAAATGATGCATTTCCTTTAAAAATGTATGCAAAAAACATAAATCTCACAGGCTGCTGGCTACAAATTTCTGCCAGACAGATGGAATGGGATGGGAGTGTTCATATGGAGGAGTGGACCTTACCTACAATTTTTCTTCTCTTCCCCTTAAAACTGACTTTGTGCCAGTGTACAAAGAAGCAATGTTACATTAATATTATTAATGCAAGAGCAGTAAATGTAGGTCAGAGTAATGACTAATATCACAAACTAAACCACTCCTACTACCAGTTTTGATTGATTTTTGTATATAAATATATGTCACTGTTCATCAGAATGAATTTGTATCACTTCGGCCTATCTGCAGTGCCTTCATGGCCCACTAGGGGGTTGAGCCAACACTTTGTAAATCACTGCATTATATTGTCGGACTCTTTTGGCTGCATTTGTTATGTTTGAGATCGTGGTCTTGCTTGATTCTCTGACTTACTCAGTTTGCCTTGTCCTCCTGGTCAAGATTCATGGGGAGTCAGCTGGCTATGTGTGAAGAATCATGTTTCATCTCCACCAGCAAAGCCTTCATTTGTGGAAAGTTTTGTTGGAGAGTAGAGTCTGTGGATTATTCTGGAACCAGTCCCATGATTTAGGTTAACTGGAAACTTGGTTTTGGATTTCGTTTCCCCACCCAGGAGAGGAGCAGCGATGGATTTTGGAAACCTTTTTGGATATCTCATTCATAAACTGATCTCTACTGTAGACTGAATTCATGATTTCTCTAGGTAACCCTCCAGACATGTGGATGAAACTGAATGTGACCTTGACAGAAATACCTTTTTTTTAAATTCAGTAAAAGGACTAAATGTTACAATCCCTGATAGTACATTGCTTCAAATGGAGAAAGTCTTGAGAGATGCCTGTTATGAGGAAAGGCAGCCCAGAAACTTTACTAGCTGGACACATTTTTGTGTGCTCCAACTTCACAGGGTGTTTCAGTCTTTTATCCCAAGCTAATCTGCTATTTTTTTACCTTCCTTGGTTACGTTTAGGGATTAGAGATCTGATCTAGATTATCATATTAAATTTGGGACATATCGTCAGCAGTGGACCTTGGATTCATCGGGTGAGCTGGAAGGGGGGCGCCTGATCTGGCTTCCTACACCTCCCTGTCGGATCAGGCTGTATGCTTTACCTCCCCACTGCCTTCCAGAAAAGAGAAGAAGAGCAGGAACATTTTTCCTTTTCTTTTTTCTCTTCCATTCCTCCTTTAGGTTTCACTACCATGAGGTTAACTGCACGGCCTCCAGGAGGCCCTGAGACAGCTGTATCAGTCAAACAGCAAAGTTTCTAGTGTTAGGTTTTCTACCCCTTTGATGCCCTCTCCTGTGGCAGGCACACCACGGGTTGATCAATCCTGGGCATGTGTCTCATGGTTAGCTGACTGCTTTAGCTGCTCAAGTGATGTCAGCCCTCTTTAGCCACAGCCAAAGAGGGCTGACATCACTCTTTAGCCACAGCCAAAGAGGGCTGACATCACTCTTTACCCACAGCTAAAGAGGGCTGACATCACTCTTTAGCCACAGCCAGTGACTGGTCCTCTCGGGAGCTAATTCTCTATGCTAATTCTCAATTCTGCCGTTGGGCCTGTCCTCTGATTCCAATCTCTCTAAGCAGTTTTGCTATTGTACTGGCAACAAAGCCTCTGCACCCCACTTCTACCGGGTGCACCTTGATCTTCCAGCCTCTGTCCTCTGCCTCAGCTGGCAAGTTGGCATACCGCAGCTTCTTACACTCAAAGGCTTCCTCCATTGCATCCTCCCACGGCACTGTCAGCTCAATGATGTAAACAAGTTTTTGGGAGTTGGACCAAAGGGCGAGGTCTGGTCGCAGAGTAGTTGTTACAATTTCTGTGGGAAAAAATGGCCTCTGAACCAAGTCCACTCTCATCTGCCAATCCCTGGCAACCTTCAGCGGGCTTAGGTCCGGGGGTGAAGGGCTAGTCCTTGGCTTGTCCCCCTCCCGGACAAATGCTGATGAGTACTGATGCTCCTCTTGGTTCGTGAAAGGTTGAGCGTTGATGGATTTCCTCTTGCACTCAACTTTCTTTGAGTTCACTTTTATCACTCCATTTTGTTTTGTGTGTGAATACTCAGTACTGTAACCTTTTCAAGAACATCTTCTTTCAGTCTTTTGAAAACGAAAGCAGAACACGACAAACTCATTTTACGCGAGTTTGCAGTTGAAATATTATATCTCTACAAACCACATCGGACCTTCCTCTTGTCTTTAGGAGCCTCTGTGGTTTTATTTGTCAAACTAACAGGAAGATGTCATTATTGAATGTTCACACTGCATGTAGTTTCTTAGAACGTTTGCTTGTGGAAACGATAGAGTGAGTCAACGCCCATTTCAATGTTCACTTCATGTATACCATGCTGCAGCTCTTTGTATAGGGGCAGTTTTTTCTGTGACTCAGAGCCAAAGGAAACAGCTTTTGGGGTCAGCTACACAAATTTCAAAACATCTGTTGAGGTCGATCTGCTTTATATTTAATTTTCTTGTGAAACTTGGTAAAAACATGATGCAGTTCTTCATCTTTTGTTTTGCAGTGATACATAAGTATTTTTTCTCTTGAGCTTTTTACTTAAAGTTATCTCTATAGTATCTCTACAATGCTGTTGTGGAACTCATCTTCCAAAGAGCGCATTCATTTTACATAAGCTCCTTTTAAATAGATTCCTAACACTGAAAGTGCAAAGGCCCACATGGAGTTGCTCCATTAACCTTGCAGCTTTGAATGAGGTACAAATGATTAACATGAAAAATCTTCTGACCATAAAACCTTTCTATTTTTGAACAACAAAGCCTATTCATTGGATTTATATAAAGTGCACGGAGTCTCCATAAGAAAACAAAATTATTTTTTTGTTTTTTTTACATATGAAGTTTAATGCAACAAATTCAACCCCAAGAACAACAGTGGCCCCAAGATAAGCAACTGTACCAGATGCAGAACTGGAAAAAAAAGAAGGAACATTGCAATTTTTGAAATTAACATGAACTGTTTACACGTGTTGCTTAGGCTGCTGCCCCCGCGACCCGGCCCCGGACAAAGCGGATGAAGATGGATGGATGGATGGATGTTTACACGTTATTTGATGTGAATAACCAACAAACTGAACTGTTATTTACTAGTCACGATGGTATTTGTCAGAGATCTTATTTTCTTTAGAGAATGCCAAAATTTAATTGTTTCTCGTGATTAAATGATTTCTTTACGATTCCTAATATTTAGGGGAAGATCTGAATTTTTCCACATCTCCAAGGACAACCTGCCTCACGAGTACCAGTCTAAGGGGAAATTTGCATGAATGCATGCTCAGTGGATGGTTAGTCCAGTCATGCTTCAAAACTGAAAATAAAGAAAGAAAAAAGCATTATTTCATCAGCTTTCTTTAAGCATTTACAGTACGGTAGTTGTTTAGGAGTAACATTGTGAGTGTAAATGTATTTACAAATGCAACCCTTAATCAGATTTAATCTTAGCTTCTTCCCGTCTTCTACACAGAAGACTTTGTTTCAGTCATATGTCCTGACTCATTTTGCGTCACTGGTACATACTGCTGTCAAAACAGTCCCGTTTTCCCTCGTCTGAACTATCTTTGCAAAAATCCAACAGCCTCTTGTCCATTTCATCACCTGGATCTTTGCAGAAGTGATTGCGAAAGAGGATTTGACATTTTGAAGATGTTATTACATCAGACTGTAGCATCCTGTTTATTTGTTCATTCATTTGTTTGGTTGGCAACATGTTTTGATGCTGCGTTTTAAATATATCATGTTTAATATTGACGCTATGTGAAGTGAGGAGGGTTTATTGTAACACAGGGTTATTCGACTGAGCGTCTAACGGTCTTACAGGACGCACATGAAATGCGAAATAACAGAATCCACGCCCCCCCAACACATACACACTGCTTAAACCCAACTATTTCTTTAGTTTTCACCGAACACAAAGAGAAATCAATGAACTTGACTCGCTGTTCAAACACTTTCTTATTCTAAGTATGGTGTCACTCATGTGTTTAGATGCTCGGGCGGATTTATTTCGCAAAATCACAGCAAGTGCAAGACATTTTTATTGCGTGTAATATAACGTATGAACTACAACCTTCTGTGCAATACTTAGAATTTTGCTTGTGCAAATCAGAAAGTGAGGAAACTGTTAACTTCTTCAAAATAACTCTGCATTTTCCTCCACGGGCGTAGTCTTTCTGCGCCTGACGAAAGAAAACGAAAGGAAGAAACGCACGAGTGTGCGCACATTTAGAAAAAGCTGTTCAGGTGGATCTGCTTCGTTTTTAGTTTCCTTCTGAGGGTTTTGTACGCTTGGTAAAAACACTATGTTTTTCTTCATCTTTATTGCGTGGATAGGTAAGTGTATTTTTTTTCTTTGCGCTCTTTACTTTGTTAAAGTTACCAAATTATAGTTTCAGAACGGAACCCATCTTTCGGATGAAGCGCGCTGTTTCTTTTACATCAACTCCGTTTTTAGGGTCTGAGCACTCAAAGTGCAAAGGTCCCGTTGGGATTGTTCCGTTTATTATCATTTTTTTGGTATATATGCATGACGAGTCCCACAAACAACAAACTTTTAAATTTACATTACGTGTCAGCAGCTGTGAGCATTATATGTAGGCCTGTTTTCGAAAAGTAGTCTACCTCCTATGTCCTTTTCCTAACAACACTTAAAGATGGTAATTCACAGTGACTTAGGGAAAAAAAGAGTTGTAGGCTGAGAATCTGGATTACCTGAAAGTCGTCTCCCAAACCCGAATTTATAGTCCCGCACGTGTCAGTCTGCGTATAGGGTTTCCGTTACGTCTGCGATGGAGAGGTCGGCACTACACAAATAGACAGAAAATATCATGTACAGATATATTATGAATATATTCACTTTTTAAATTATTAATATTGAAGCTTTTTTTTCTTTTTGATCAGGTTGGCGCAGTTGTTATTGGGCTAGCAGCACGTGGCAATTAAAAATCACAGTTTAGGTATTTGGAGTGACTATGGTTAAAGTATCCGTTCATTTTACTTGGATCCTGATTTTAATCCTTAAATCAACTTATTTCCTTACCACGTTAATTACACCTTTCTGTATCTCATGCGGTCAAGTGAGCCCTCACTTGCGAAGGTAGCCGTCCTGTCACTACAAGGGCTTGTTACTAGGTGTTGCTGGTACTGTTCACTGTGCAGCTAATATTAGCTGCACAGTGAACATGTGTCAGATTTTCCTGCATCTATTTTTTTTTCTCTCGCTCATCTTTTCAGCTCCACATTTTCGCCACTGTTTCCGCACTAAACACTGCTCCACACGTTGCGCAAGTGCAAAGCAAAAGTATTGGAGGGCTAGCTCTGGGTATGTCTAGGAGATTTGAATTGGGCAATACAGTTGGCCCATCGGCGCAAAAGTGCGTCGCCCAACAGGAAAATGCCCGGTATGCCAGTTCACCAGTCCATCTCTGGAAGACACTGTGCGCTCAAAGATTTCTTTTCAACTCAGACAGCTCTGTATAGCCGGAACTGACTCTTGTGACAGCAGGTGTAGCAACAAAGCAAACGGAAATACGCTGTTAAATTATCTACTCAGTTAAAAGGAATTATATTCTGACAGCATTTGCAATAGAGGATGTTAAGGTGACACAAAGTTGTGGTCAGAAATTTCATTCTTATGGTGACACATCTGAATAACTTGTATTTATGTACAATTTCTTGAACTGGTGATCTTGGAATCGGCAATTGTTTGAAAATGTCTCATTAAGCTTCTAGAGTGGCCTTCCCAAAGCCCAAAGAACATCTAGTGAACCCACTACAACCTGAATAAGACTTGTAAAGCTACTACTCTTGTTAGTATTTGTCAGAGATTTTCTATAGAGAGTGCCCATTGAAACTGAAGTAAATTCAATCATTCAATTATTAGCAGTAACCTCACCAAGTTTAGTGGGTGGGTGGGAGATCTCAAACTGAAACAAATCTTGAAGAGTCTGCAACAGTGATCCCAGATAATGTTAGTTATATAATTTAGTGTGGCTTTATTCATCACTTTGGACATTGAGTATCCTCCTCAAGGCTTTTCCAACTGTAAATTTTGCTGCTCCAGGTCTGTTAGCCACGGTTCACAGTGAAACATTACCAGCATATGCACATTTGATAGTATTTTTCTTTACTATTTGATGATACGCCTAACTTAAGCTTTCCTGTATCGTTTTAGGAAAGCCTGTGAGCACTTCCTGTCCGTTAGAAATAAGCCCTCCTAGTGTTGTGGTAAGGTATCAAGGCTCCTTTTCAGCTAACTGCACCTCACTATCTAACCAGACCGATGGAATGGGATGGGAGTCTCCATATGGAGGAGTGGACCTTACCAAGGGTGTCACTTCTCTTCTCTTAAGAATTGACTCTGTGCCAGTGTGGGAGTTAGAGCCAATGTGTTTTGTAAATCTCCATGATGGTGATCAGTGTACAAAAGTGTTACCAGTCACTGTTTATAGTGAGTAGCCTTAACTTTGTCTCACACTTTTCAAGTATGTCATTAGTACTTAATAACTGGGTAAAATTAATTCATTTGATTTTTTTTTTATTTCAGAAATGCCAGACAGTGCGTCTCTGAAGAATGTACGTACAGTGGAAGAAAGCCGACAGTTTGCCATACAGTGTGATGTTGTTAGTGTTGCACCAGCAAGAAATCTTTCAGTAGTTTGGCACAAAGGAAATAAGATCTTGTCTTCTCAGACATTTGAAGAGTCCAGTCCATCTCCAGTCAGTAAGTCATCTGTCCTCACTCTGACTGCTCATAGAGATGATGATGGAGCTGAGATCTGGTGTGAAGCAAAGCTGAACCTGTGGCCAAAGGAACAACGTCCTCCTCCAGTGCGTTCAGAAGCTCATACTCTGACTGTACTCTGTGAGTTTTTAAAATGATCTTAATGTAATCAAAAAAATATTTCTCTTTGTATTTTCATTTTCAAGTTTTTCTGTGTGCAATTTGATTTCACATATGTCCTCAGACCAACCAACCTTTATCAGCGCTTCAAATGAGACTCTGGACTTGCCAGCTGGTAAAAACATTTTAAGTTGCAATGCAACAGGAAACCCTTTGCCATCATACCACTGGCAATTCCCACAAGCAGCACAAGAGACGTACAAGGATCAGGATGTGAATTATCCTATTTTGACTGGACCATTTGAGTTTCCAGGGGTCTATACTTGCACCGCCTCAAACTCCCAGGGTACTGTGACTAAATACTTCACAGTCAACAAACCTCCAGGTAAGTTCTCATCAGTTAATTCAGTACATTTCCCATCTTGTTATATTTTATCATCTATGATTTTTTTTATTCTCCTTTAGGTATTGGTCCCGGGGCCATTGCTGCAATTGCAATTGCTGCAATTGTTTTTGTTATCTGTACTTTGGGAGTGATTCATCGCAAATGCAAAAGATAAGAGAATGTATTTTCAAAGCCAAAAAATTTGGTCTGTGCCATGTTTGAATCCTCAAAGTTTTTTAGCTACATTCTTAAATGTATTAAAACACGAGGACTGGTAAAGCTCAAATAGCATGTTTTGTTTTAGCAATTTGTATCCATACATTTTTTTTATGGAAACATGATTGTACTTATCAACTGTAACGTCTGTATTTTTTTCTTCTTTCGATGTTTTAGTGTTTTACTTTTTTGACACCATAATTAGTTAATAAGGCCTATCTTTTCAAATGCAGGCTTCATTTGTCAAGCTCACTGTGATTCACTGTGCAGTGCTAATATAAAGAAAAGTTGGGACAAAAATTGCATCAACATGAACCTTTCAAGTATTTGACCGCTTAAAATCCCTGTCAGTATTAGTATGTCCTCACTAATGCACGCTACAGTTTTTAGATATAATCTCCTGAAAACAAGATTAGTAACTTTTTGCAGCATTGCTCACTTGCCACATGTTGTCTTTTGTCAATTTATTTTTGATCTGAAATCCAGTTTTACAAGTGTGCACACATTAAATCAAAAATAAAGTTGATAATAAGTGTCATGATGGTCATTATCTCTGTCTAATCGTTTAGGTCTTGTAAAGCCAGCTAACACTTTTGCCAATTATGATTTTGTGAAGAGCTTCATTCCTCTTTTCTGTTCACGTCTCCAAATCAAGAAAATCAATGTAGTGTTTGTCTGATGTCGAAGACGTAAAGGTTTAATTCAGGATAAAGCCTAGACAGAAAATGCATTAAAGAAAAGAAATAATGACAAAGACATTTACAACTACTCTCTTTATTACGGTAACAGCCATATTTTACCATGACAATAAAATATGGAATCTTCCTGGGATTTACACTGAATTCCTCAGTTGTTTGACGGTCTGCAAAGAGAGTGAAATTTAGTCAGCGACAAGATTATACAACATTATGACAAGTACATTGACAAAACTGACAGACTGAACTTACTTGGCCCATTCAACATTGAGAATAAGATGATCATATCCAAATCCTGACACTCCTGCGATGGCTCTTGCTGCATCCTCCCGACGGTGGAAACTGATAAAGGCAAATCCCTGTTGGAAACAGGATGAGATTACTGAACCATGCTCAGTTTCAGTTCAATGTCAACAGTTTTTTAAAAAAGGAAAAGAAAACGCACCCACACTCAGCAGCTGATACTTAAAAAAATATATACAAAAACGACAATAATAAAGTCAAGCACTCAATTTTCACTTTCACTGGAACACTTGACGGACAACATGTTTGTGTATTTTCTTACGAACAGAAAACTAAACACTGTAGTCAATTTATCAGCTACACCGTCTTGGAAAGAGGTTTGTTAAGAAATTGTTGCTGACACTTTATTAAATCAAATGTTCGCTTTATAACTGACCTTCGACTGTCCCGTGTTCTTGTCCTTGGCCAAATAGATCCTTGAGATTGAGCCAAATGGTCTGAAGAGCTCCTGCAGGTCTGTCTCACGGGTGTCCTCAGACAGGTTGGTGACACGAATGGTAGCATTGTCATCAGCTGTCAAAAACAAACAGTGTTTCTATTGAACAATACTTGAGGCTGTGCAGGCATTATCAACCATAATACCACTACCATTACACCATCCACTAGTTTCTAAAGATCTGTTTTGAAGCCCTGAAGTTTAGCATTTCCACTGTTGCCATCTCGGTTGCAAAAACTGGACGCAATTTGGGAGGCTGGGTGTGACTGTAACACTGCAAGCTCAGTGTAATGTCTTTTGACTGACAACTCATTAGCCATTGAGCATGCAATTTCATCTTCCCTTTTGAAACATAGCATTACTAAGACTTCCAAAAAAGTGAAAAAAAATAAGTGAGAGCCCATAAACTAAGAAAGCCTTTCCCTCTAAACTTCTATAGGACTGGAAGTCTTTTTGAAACCCTGCATTTCTATCGCCATCTGGTGGCAACACAATAGAAAGCCACCAGATGGCTGCATTGCTGCACTGGCTTCATTTTTCTGACCTGGAAGTTACATCCATGTTTTATAATGCCTATGGCAATTTCTCAAAGAATAATGGGTGTGAATAGTATAAGCAGAAAATGTGCACCCACCTCTGCGGTTAGGCTGCATGGACTCCCCTCTTCTGGTGCCTCCATCCCTCAGGCTCGGAGGAACATACTTCCCGGTCTTGCTCTGTGCAGGCTGTGCAGGCTCTGGCTCCGCTGGTGAAAGGAAAAGCATGCAACATTAGTCATGATAACTTTAGGAACACCAAACCGCAACAGAACATCTGACAGCAAAAATTTGACTATATGAATGGTATGTTCATGATACCTGAACCAGCAGGCTTATCCTTGTCTCCAGTAGAAAGCCCGAGCTGTTCAGCCAGCTCCTTCTGCATTGGGCCCAGGGTGTCCTTGTACGGACAGCGTGTAGTCCAGTGATCACCTTTGCAAATACGACAAGACACGATCTTCTGTCCTTTCAGTTTGTTCATCGGATCTTCATCCTGGTCTTGGGCATTTAAGTCCTACAAAATGAAAAAGATACATCAAGTAAAAAGGCAAAGCTACACCATAGTTAACTTTTTTTTTTTATTAGAACAGTAAACAAAAGCAGCAACACAAAAAAGCAAGACTCTCACCTCTTTGCTGGAGATGAAAGTCATGAAGACATCATCACTGACGGTAGTGGTGGCAACATTAGGACCTGGTGCATCATACTCAGAGTTACCAAATTTCTTCCAGTTCTGAAATGAGTGCGGGATAATGTTTGACACAGAGTTTACTATTTTGCTCATGGATAAAGTGGAAAAAGGTTTACTTTTATTTAATTTAAAGACAGACCTTTCTTCTGGCAACAGCTTTTGAGGCTTTCCTTGTCTCAATCTTAAAGGTTCGCACAATCTAGAGGACAAAGAAACAAAATCAACAACATATAAATCAATATTAATATTAATTAATAATATTACAAACAAGTTTCTTTGTATACAGCAAGTGCAAATATTTAAGAAGGTTATGTTAAAAGGACTGGTTCTCATTTAGCAGTCATCTACTCTATTCAGGCTTTATGCAACATGTCTCATTCACCAATTAACAAAAGCATTTTTTCTACCTTGCTTTCTATCTAACATTAACACTTCAATGAAAGCATCAGGTTCAGTGTCTTGCCCAAGTATAGTTTGGCATGCAGACTGGAGCAGCAAGTTGTTCGGTTCGAACAACCAACCTTCCAGTTAGTAGATGACCTGCTTTACCGCAGCCACTAATGCGCCTCTAATAAAATCTATACAAATCTTGAAAAATGCAGTCTTACTCGAAGCTTTCAGATGAAACTATGACCTCTAGAGGGCATCTGGTATCAATAAAATATTAAAAACCATTTAATGACTACATCTGTAACTTTGCTGTATAACATGTCAATTGAGAAGTTTGTAAATTTAGAATCTAGTAGATGGAAAACAAGAATGGGTTTTACTCTGTATCTATGTTTTAAATGTGCCTGTAATTGCTTTTTAACATATATTACTCATAGCTTATGAAGTTCTAATGCTCAAAATAAATTGTACAACCCATCATGTGCCACAGGGTTTCAGAGGTGCAGCCCAGGGTTGACCATGGACACCACAGACTAAAGCCTGATAACCTTACACAATCGATGATAAACCTTATCACACTCCGTTACAGAACTGCAGTTGTATCAGTAACAACCGTTTTTCCTGCACTTTTTTGTGCAGCCATTTTTTTCATGCTCCTCCAGAGCCCTGTTTTAGACTGCAATTACTACATGGGCGACACCCATGCTTAGCAAAGGATCAATGAGTGGGAGAAAAAACTACTTGTCCTACAGCACTACAGACAGTATCTATATCTCCTTAAAAAAAGTAATGCAATCACTGCATCCATTCTTATAACTCTATTGGTCTACAAATGCAATGATAGATGCATTTTTAACCATTTAAATATAATGAAGATAAGACTTTGTATAATGAGTCTTGTAAAAACGACATAATAAACGTTTTATTACCTTGTACTTCTTTCCATCATCATCTATTTTATATTCCGTGACAGTTTTAATATTTCCTTTGATGGTCTCCTTGGGGGATGGCAGTGTGCCTGTGAAGAAAACATTCAGTTTAGTCCTTGAAACTGCTAGAAAAACGATTGTTTTTCACGCCCCGTTTCTGAAGAGCTTCGCTTCCCACGTATTCAATCAAACTCTCAATGAAAGCACCATCAAGGCTCATCTTTTGATCAAATATCCAGTTCTGAATTGGATTTCACACTCGGGTGTTCTTATTTGCAATAAGACACTTATTGACTTTTGATTACCCGTGGCGCTGAAACCCTACTTCTAACACAGCTGTGTTGCTAGCGTAGCCTGCTAGCTGATAGCTGCACTCATGTTAGTACTGAGAGACCCTGCTTACGTCACTGTTACAGGCCTCAGCATATATCGGTAACTCTTTTCATCAATAAATCGTCCATCCATGTCAGTCACACGAATATATCACTCCAGCTTTTGCATAATTAGACAACCCAAATGTCTCAGGTAAACACATTTTTAGCTCTACGTTTACGCCTAACAACCACGTGGAAGTGGAAACCGCCTAGCCGGCCTCCGTCTTGAGTCACTGGACTACAGCAGATGTGTTAGCATTAGCTAAAGCTGATAATAGGCTCTTTACCTTCATCTCCTTCCTCCTCAACTTGATCAGCCCAGCTGGGCTTGGAGCTGAAAGACAGATGCGAAAATGCCACGTTATTTTGAGCTCAATAAAGACTTCACAGTATGAAATGAAACAAACAGAACTTACTCGTCGTATTCACTCGACGGCATCCTCACTGCTAGCTTTACTTTAGGACCGGAGCAGTATGAGTCGAGCGGCGTCGCTACTGTACGCACTTCCTACCACTTCACAATAAAAGTATAGTGTAATCCCTTTTTTTTTTGCTTCAAAATAAGAGCGCAGAACTCATTGTCTAAAACCAAACCAAATTAAACATCGGGGTTGATAATAATCTGGAAAATTCTACGCAAATGTAAAATTAAGTTTTTAACAGAAAGCAATATCTGAGATCTTAGGGGTTTAAAAACAAACAAACAAAGACACGAACATGCAATTTACATGAACATGAAATTTAATTTAAAAAGTTTTTTTTAAGAGCAACAATAACAACGATTTTTATTTTTCAATTCGACCAACTACATTTTTAAAGGGACTTCTACTACACAAAACTAGATTAGTGAAAATTAAATAATATTCTGGATTCTTTCAAACCTTCCTCACATGTTTGATAGTGGAAAAGAAGCACATTCAAGAGCAAATTTTGGGGCATTAGAAAACCTTTATTTCTAGCAGTATTCTTCAAAGCACTGTTGGTCTGCATTCAAGTCAAGGAACATAAGGTATTTCTGGAGATTGCACCTTTACAAATCCTTTGGACAGAGGTTGCACCACTGCAGCCTGTCTCACTCAAGTGGTAGATGTCTGTAGATGATGGTCGGTCAACTTTAGAAGCTGGCATGTTGACTTGATTTAACATGTTGTCAATTGTAGTAAAGCATTTTAAAAGAAGTTGGTTTCTTGTCCAATTGGGTGCAGTCTCTCCTGCAGACAACCGAAAATTCTGAGATGCATAGGTCAAAGAAATGTTAGATCTGCTCAAGGGCCAGATGCATATCTCAGGCGAGGTGTCAGGACTGATCATTTGCCATACACAGCTTGATTTTTTCAGACCCATCACTTCTTCTTTTGTTCTGCACTTGTTCAGTTTCCTTAGATTTTTTGAAGGACACACTGCACTTGACTAATATCCCGTTGGGAATCATGTTGTTGATGCAAAAAATATTTTATTTATCTTTGGGAATTTTCATAGATTCAACTAAAGTACTTTGAATAAGTTAAAATATTTTTCTGACAAGCTGCTAGCAACAAAAAATTAAAAGATACATTTAAAAATTGGTTCTTTGCTATGTTGTCTGTTATTTGTAGACACAACTCGGGTTCATCCTTTGCCATAGAGGACTTTGTTAATGCTTGAATGATTCATATGTCAGTATAAAATGGTTAAACAAACAAACAAACACAAAAACAAAACGTTTTTCAGGTGATGTGATCAGATGCAAGGACTGGACTGAAAATTTGTGAAACCATAGAGAACTATTGCTCAGGAGCACTTAAAAATATAAGAAAGGCTGGCTCCTTGCAAACAAAATGAAAAGAAATAACTGATTCAGTATAATTTTTATTGCTGAACTAGGCCAACAGGAAATTAACCAAAAGAAACACAATGAAAGTGTTTTAGAAAAGTCATAATAGAGACTAGTAACACTTTGAAATAAGATAGCTACAAGAAAGTCAAGCAAGTGCTATATGCATTGCATTGCATGTGTTAGACTGTACACAAAAACCACAACAAGAGCAACAGCTCATCACCCCCCGATGTTGTCTTCTGAGCTTTTTCCACAACATGCTACTCTCATACTGTCAAACACAGCCATGTAAAGGACCGGATGGATACACATGTTCACAGTTGCCAGTCCCTTTGACACTTGGTACATATCATAGATCCAACAGACAGTGTTGTCCGGATGCAATAATCTTAGATGCAAGTGATAAATCTGAAAGAAATGATAAGGCACGAAAGAAATGGCATACAGCACAAGCACTGATGCGACTAACAGGGCGACTTTGCGTTTCTCAAGAGGGGTTATGTTAACATTCTTCCAAACTACCCAAATCACCACACAGTAAGAAGTGAAAGTAACCAGGAAGGGAAACAGACACCCAAACATAGAGAGGAAAAATTTGTAAACATAGTGAGGGTGTTCAGTCTTGTTGCAGAAGGACACGCACTGAATTTTGTTATTAGACCCATCTGAGCAAACAGATGCAAATTTCAACACCGGACTGGAAATGACTCCAACGATGACCCATATGACTATACTGGTGACCTTGGCGTGGCCAGGCGTTATATAGGAGCGGGTGAAAAATGGACAAGCGAGGGCCACGCATCGATTCACGCTTATCGCCATGATGAAGAAGATGCTCACATATAAGTTGCATGTGAAAAGAAACTTTTCCAGCTTGCACACAGCGTCGCCGAACATCCAGTGCTTGTCCTTTGAGTAGTAGACGATTAACAACGGCAGGGTGAGGACGTACAGCAGGTCGCTGATGGCTAAGTTGCATGACAGAACAACACCGGTGTGCCAGTTTCTTCTCTCTTTGACGACCAGCAGCCACAGGGCGAACAGATTTCCAGCCAGAGCCACGACAAACTCAACTCCATACACCACAGGCAGGGCGCCTGTTTGAAACTTCTCACATTTAGAGAAGTTAGACAGCATGCTTTTAATTTGCTTTTAGGTACACTGTTAGAACTGTCCAAGCCCTGCAAATCAAAGTATATTAATGCATTAAATTTCATTATCTAATAAAACAACAATTATTCTGGCACAAATTTATATTTTTGTAGAAAAGGAAGTTATTGAAGCTATTTATAGAAACTGCTTTTCACTATCTAAAAGTTTAAAAGTGTTACAGCTAAAACAGAGATTATATTTAGTAATGAATTCTTTTTTTCTCTTACCGAAAGGGTGACGAATAGTGCGTTATGACTTGAAAGTTAAGTCCTGCGTGATAGATAGGAAAAATATGAAACACTTCTCAAGTACCATTCTTATCTCTGTCGGTGATAGAAGTGAGCGAGAAGCGGAACGCACGCATGAGCATAGAAGCAACTTCCTCATACCCTTTGTCTTTATTTCACAACTAGAAGAAGGAAAAGCACGACGCCAACGTCAAGCATCTGTAATAGTCACAGGACAGATTAGGTATGTTGTAGCAAAGCTTCCATCCACATTTGTTTTGTTTTTTAATCTTTCCCTTCATCTGCCATTAGTCTAAATTTGGGAGGATCATTTATACATATATATATTCACATTATAACAAATGTAATCTATTCCATATCACATAGAGTAAAAACAAAAAGTCAATTGCTGACCAGGAATTTTAAAAAACTAGCCAACATCGTCCTTTTGTGGTGCTGGGCCAACATGCACTGAGGGAGCTGCTTTGCTTATTATTACTTGTTTGGCTATGATTGGCAATATACTACTTCCCTTTTTCTTATCCTCAATGCAACTCTGGATTTCACATCAATATTTGTAGGTGTCAAATGTTCAGAACTGTACATGAAAGCTTAGAAAATGTGTCATAGCAGTTATTAAATATAGTAAAAAGGACTATTAAAGGTCAAGTTCATTTTTATGATCCTTAAACACTTGAATCTTCATTTATCATACTTAAACATCTTTTTCTCAGATACTTTATTTTCAGAAAGATCAACATATTTTGCTTTCAATAATGTGTCAAAAACAATAGGTGACATGAACTTTTCATTAAAAGTCTTAATATTTCATTTCATTTTAAACTGGTATCAAAAGGTGCTCATGTAATGCGGTTATTTTTCATTTAGCTTTCCCTCATCTGTAACAGTGTTTCCATGACATCATGCTTGGACAGCAACTCAGGAAGAGATACTAATAGTTGCTGGCTGCTTTCTTCCAACTTTGTATCTCTTTGCAGTTACTTAAAGTTTAGTAAAACAAAAGATCGATTAAAAAGAGACAAACTGGGAGTCAATTTATTTACAGAGCAAATACAGTTTGAAATTCAAAGATCTTTGCATAACAGAAAGAGGTCGGTTTTCTGGTGACAAATATAAATGCTAACAGGAAACTCTCACAGGCGTCACTTGCAGATAAAGCATTCACCAGTTAAATAACTTTTCCACGTTTCCTGTTGGAAACAGAAAATTTCTCCAAGTCCAGTTTAAAAGGAAGTACTGAAGGTCAGCCTTTTCCCTTCCTCTGTTTGAAGCCTTGCTTTCTTCCTCCTGCACTCTTATTAAAGCCCATTTTGCCTTTCTGACTTTTAGACTTGAATGGTCTGTCCCCATTTCTCCTTTTCCCACCAAATCTATCCTGCTCTCCAGCTCTCTTTGCTCCAAAAGCCTTTCCTGTAGGCTTCATTTTCTTCCCAAATGATTTTTCCCCATCCCTGGATTTCTTCCATCCTTCTTTCTGTTGTTTTTTCCCTGTTTGGTTTCTATGCTGTCCTCCTGGTGATTTGGAACCTCTGTCTTTTAAAGATTGACCAGGGGACAACTTCCTCTTCTTGGCAGGTCCATGAGATTTTTCTGAACTCCTCCTCTTCTTCTTTCCACTCGGAAACATGCCTACATGGAAAACATCTGTTAATACTTAAAAAGACCCCAGTGAACTAAAAGTGTTAAGTAAATGAGCTACAGTCACCTTCTTCTGGCTCCTCTCCTACGGCCTGTCTGTAGTACTCTGCCTCGTCATCAGACTCAGCATCAGCTCCCTGACCGTCCTGAGCCCCTGGATCCTCCACCTCACTGTCCTCTTCAGCTTCGGCACGTTTCTTCTTAATGCCTTCCAGGCTCTTTTTCCTGTGAGAAAGAAATGGAGACACAGTTTGTCATAAACCGCATCAAAAAATGGATACAAAAAAAGGAAAGTCAAAACATTTGAAAGCCAAATTACCTGTGCTCTTCTTTTTTCTCTGTCTTCTGAGCGATGTTCTGCTCCTGCTTTTTCCGGCGTTCCTCCTTTTCTTTTATCTTTGCCTCCTTCCTCTTCAGGATCTCCTGGATTTCTTCCTCCGTCTTGGAGACTACAAGGATTGTACAAATAATTCCTGGTTAAGAACAGTTTTTGCCAGCTTCCAAACGATAAATAAAATTCTGCAAGTTCAGGGTGTATCAGTAAGCGTTTACTTTTCTTTTTTTTTTTAGAGAGAAATCATAGAATTCATACAGTTTTTTTCATCATGTACACCCCTGCGTATGCTAAAGAAAAAATTAGGAAAAGGATGCGCTTACTCATGGAGTGATATATGACGTTCCCCTCGCCCATCCCTTCTTGAATCTTCATTAACCGCAGAGTCATGCGAGGACCAATCTGAGAACAGCACAATGAAATTTTCAGCACCACTCAAACACTATTTAGGGAAAAAAAAAATAAAAAAATAAATCAACTTTGTGCGCGTACGCACTTCGGTCAAGCGGACGGCACTCTGCTGGGACGCCATGTTGCCTCTTCCAGAGTAGACCTGTGGAAGTTCGGTAACGTTGTGCTCCTCATCTTGCTCAGCTTCACTTTCTGAGAGGTTTGCCCCCCTGAGAATGGTTACAAAGAACATTTCATTAGACAAAACTCCAGCTCACCAACGGCTACAAATCCGAGCCCCTTTTAATCCTCGAGGCTACAGCAATTGTACCTGAAAAAGAACCTTACTTCATCAGCAGCTCACTGATATCCTCAAACTTGTTCATATCAGGGAACCTCTCCTGCATCAGCTTCTTGACTCCACGGCTCACTCCCACAGGGACAACCTTGAGGCTGCTGCAGGGTGGGAACAACATATTGGTCAATTTCAATGTGTAATCAGTAAACAGAGTAAAAACAAACAAACAAATGTTTTTATCCTGTGGGGGCTCATCAGTGCGTTTACTTTGGACATAGATCACTGAACAGTCAAGTCAAGGTCTGTCATCATCTGAGCCCGAATTTCACAGGATTGTTGTTGAATGTAGGTTTAAGTAACTGGAACTAGTTTTGTGTACGTTCCTTAACAGCGCATCATCTGTGATGTGTGCGCAGATGTATAGATTCAAAAGCGTTGTGACCTGATGTTTATAAGCAACTTAAAATGATAAAGAATAGCCAATTTTTACTTACTAATGCCGGAATTCAATTTCCTCTGATTCGGAATTGTAGCTTAACAGGACACACCTCTTGATGGTGTTGAGGCTTATCTAAAACATAAGAAACAGAACGAAACATTCCTCTTGAGTGGAAGTCAGGGTTAGGCAATCACAAAGCTGAATGGATCAACAGAGAGATCAGAAAGCGTTTACTTTTGATAAATCTTCACATAAACTCAGAAGACTATACTTTCATCATATCAATGAGGTTTTAAACCTCGAGTCACCCAAGGAAAAAATATTGCAGTAGCTTTAGTGGTAAAACCCACCTTGTGCACATTTATGGAAGGAAACATGTTTTGGAACATGGTGGCCATAAGTTTGATATGCATGCCATCTTGTCCAAAGTTATTAAGGATGAGCAGCGGATGATACTTGAACTGCTCCTCGTGCATCCTGTGCTTCTTCAGAGATGAAACGACATCTTTGATAAGACAGTACTGGAAAAAAAACAAAACAAAAAAACAACTTTGTAAAAGTAAGGAATAGAACGATCAAGAAAGAAATCGCAACTTTGGTAGTTTGGGCACATCAGTGCGTTTACTTTGAAAAACATTTATTAATCACATTTTAAAATGTCATGAACCCATGACTCATTTGATTTAGTTTTATTTTGCATGCACAGTTTAAATTATTTACCTTGGTGACCTGGAAATGAAGCATGGGACCTTTGGGAAGACGAGCAACTCTCTGTAAGAAGAATGTTTGATTAGATTTATAACAGAGCCACAGATTTGACATACAGTTGCAAATGCATTTGTTTACAGTCTAATATAAGGATTCTCAACTTGATGTGACAGGAAGCCAGGTGCTTGCTAATATTAAACAATATAAAATGTAAAAATTAAAAAAGGTCTAATATTTCGCTATTTTCAAATGACTTAACTACTTTAGCTCTGACACCAAGCACATTTAGAGGTAAATTATAGGCCTCAGTCAATCAATACTCTAAGGTCATCTTACCATGTTGATACTGGTGGGCGTTTTGCTGAAGATGTTGAAGTGCGTCACTCCCAGTGGTCCTGCTATCGCAACAAAGTCTTTGAGCACATTCTTCTTCCTAACCTGTTTTTTTTTTTTTGGTAAAAAAGTAAAACGATTTCACGCACAGTCTGCAGAAATAAAATATGAATAAATCAATACAATAGTTGCCTAAAGAACTCAAAGAAGGGACCTTGAGAGAGACTGCGGTGTAGGGCTCCATGACTTTTCGGATATCGATAATGAGCTGACCCACGTTTTTTCCAACCTGGCCCCGGTGAAACACCAAAGTGTGGGGCACAGCCGAGTAAGTCTCCTCGGCCTCATGGTTGGCCTGTAATCGGTCTTTCTTCTGATTCCGGGTCTGTTGAGGGCGATAAACACATATTAGTAAAGGGGTCAATTACTGACTGTTGCTGGTCTCACGTTTAGTGAAAAGAAGGCTAACGTGAAAGGGTCTCACGACACAACTAGCTTTACAAACTACACACATTTTCATACTCATCGCTAACTACAACCCAACAGGGTTTCCATTTAATAAAAGTAACAGTCTGGTTTTTCGCAAACTAACAATGATTAAATAGCCTCTTTAATAGCAGCATTTCAATCCACATCGGCTAATTTTTTAGCACAGGCCGGTACTTACCTTTGATTTCCCCATAATTCAGCTCGAAACAGAGCGCAAGAATGTAATGGGAACAAAAACACACTCACAAAAACTATCGCTATACTATACTTAAGCTACCAAGAACGATCAAGCTCATTTTTTGACGATATTAACCAACAATTAGTCCAAACTGAAGTTAACGTGACGCCACCCACATGGCTCTACTCTGCTTTTCTAGTGTGTGTCACAGGCTAATAAGTCCGTATTTCTCGTGTCTTCGATAGTTCCTAGCCGGTGTACGCTACTTTGTTTTTTCCAATTGCAGTTCATCATAGTAACCGCTGGATGGCCGTAGACAGCTGAGACGGCTGCATCTCTTTGAAAGATGGTAATCGACCCCCTCCCTTTCTATGAATTTTGGAATAATAATAAAAGAAAAATAAAGTAACACAAGTAACATATTCTAATTCTATCTATTTAATTCAATATACATCTCAAAAAGTTGATTCTGTTCATCTGGACGTAGCGTTTTGTGTTTCATCGCTCATCCAAGTGACATCTTCAGTCTCAGCTGACTGCAGGTTTCCCCAAACCACTGAAGTGGGCTGGTTTCAGTCATTATGCAAATATACTGTTTATAAGATTTGGGGAAACCTGCAGTCAGCTGAGACTGAAGATGTCACGAGACGGCCTACCTGAAGGAGATTAGGAATCCGGAGAACTGGTGCCAGAGGAACAACCTCCTTCTAAACGTCAGTAAGACAAAGGAGCTGATAGTGGACTTCAGCACTAAGCAGGAGAGGAACTACCAGACCCCCGTCATCAACGAGTGCCCAGTGGAGAGAGTGGACAGCTTCAAATACCTCGGAGTTCACATCACGCAGGACCTGTCATGGTCCTGTCACATCAACACCGTGGTGAAAAAGGCCCGTCAGCGTCTCTACCACCTCAGACGCTTGAGAGACTTCCAACTGCCCTCCAAGGTGCTCAGGAACTTTTACTCGTGCACCATAGAGAGCATCCTGGCGGGAAACATCTTAACCTGGTTCGGGAACAGCACCATGCAGGACAGACGAGCTCTACAGAGGGTTGTGCGGTCAGCTGAGCGCACCATCCGCTCCGAGCTCCCTGACCTGCACTCAATCTACAGCAGGCGGTGCTGGACCAAGGCCAGGAAGATCGTGAAGGACCTCAGCCATCCCAACAACAGACTGTTCTCTCTGCTGAGGTCAGGAAAGCGATTCCGCTCCCTGAAGACCAACACAGAGAGACTGAGGAGGAGCTTCTTCCCGCAGGCGATACGGTCTCTCAATCACACCACCACACAGTACTGACCCAAACATATGGTTTTTACACACACACTGGACTTTCTGGACATTATAGTGACCAGTGTTGTGCAAAAAAACAATGTGTGCAAAAACATTGTTTTTTTGCACAACACTGGTCACTATATTCTTCATTTCCGGTTAATACTTGTACAGCTGCTGTTATTGTGTATATATTTATTTATATTTAGATTTCTTCATACATTCTTATATAGTTCTATATTGTGTATTTTGTTGTACAGTTATTTTATTTTCAACTTTAATTTATATATTTTATCTTATTCCTTCCCAGTTAAATTTACCCTTCATTCTAATTTGTGTTGTACAGTTATTTCATTTTTAACCTTAATTTATATTTTATTCCTTCTTAGTTAAATTTACCCTTTTTAATTTTTCATATTTATTTCCTATCTTATTCATAGCCTTTTCCTTTTTTGTTTTCTTTAGGTCACAAGCAGTTATCCAAGCATTTCACTACATATCGTACTGTGTATGACTGTGTACGTGACAAATAAAATTTGAATTTGAATTTGAATTTGAATTTGGATGAGTGATGAAACACAAAACGCTACGTCCAGATGAACAGAATCAACTTTTGGAGATTTACTTTCCTGGATGATTGAGAATGCATCAAGACGAAATTCAATATACACTCAATAAACAAGAACACAGTATTATGGAAAAGTCTTGAGCCACTCCTCATTTCTTTCTGCAATTTGCAAGGCCTCAAACTCTCTCTCTCTCTCACACACACACACACACACACACACACACACACACACACACACACACACACACACACACACACACACACACACACACACACACACACGCACACACACAAAGAAAACGGCTATATTCATTATATTCATTCTATGGGCAAACATTGGCTTATTTGAAGTTCAACAGTTTAATTATACAATTTTTGATAGAAAACCAATACTCTAAATGTAGCATCATGACGTTAATGAGAGCGTAAAGTCTTTGTCTCTCTGACATAAGAAAAAAAGTGTTTATTTGTTTTGGCAGTATAGAGAAAACCATAATGAAAAAAGAAATGTGTGATCAGAGCTTGGGTGTGACCCAGTGCAATACTGTAAGCTGATCTGAAAGTAGAAATAGAGACAGCGTTTTAGGTGTGGTTTCTGTTCACACTTTGACCTCAGCACTGTGTGACTGTGACTATCTTTACTGTTTTTCAGTATTGCTGATTTTCCCATAAAGATGATGCAGTAGCAAAGAACTATCTCAGAGCCACTGCTGTCATGTAAAAGGCAACTCAGACCATCACAACTTATTATTATTATAACAAAGTGCATAATCTGCTGCAATTAACCCACTAGACTGAGTGATGCTGGAGGACCAATATATATGTATGTATGTATGTATGTATGTATGTATGTATGTATGTATGTATGTATGTATGTATGTATGTATGTATGTATGTATGTATATATATATATACATACATACATACATACATACATACATACATATATATTGGTCCTCCAGCATCACTCAGTCTAGTGGGTTAATTTATGAAAATCATAAAAAGCTGATGAGTGTGAAGCTTTACTTTTCACAGAATGTGATGGGACCCAGAATTTCCCGAACAAGCACCTGCAGCAGTATAAAGAGCTGTAATGGCATTTAGAGCAGCAGACCAATCCACTTTTAATTTGAGAGTCACCGTCTTGGCAACAAAACAGACTCACTGAATAAGCATGGTTACATACAGGACGAAACCTTTACATACAGGATACAACCATTTTTGAAGCGCCACTGCAGTCACAAAGAAGGCTGAAGTACAGGTGCAGCCTTTATTCTAGTCTTTGTGGCATAAAGAGGCAACAGTCTTTTCCTAGACTGGTATCATTACTATCACTTCACTACATTCCCAGCACTGTCTGTTTGTTGAAGTCACACTAGAGAATATGAGTCCCAATATAAGGCCATAATGCTGCAGTGGTCTTTTTTATGCTTTCATAAAATTAGGCCACAGAAAACAAGCCAAATGTGCATCAGAAAAAAGAGGCAATGTATTTCAAAAATAATCATGCCACACTGATAAGGTGCTACAGCAGGATAGAGTTGACAGCAGGGTTGTGGGTTAATGACAGAGGGAGGAGACACCCTAGATTCCTGCACCCAGCTAAACAACCAGTTCTGGGAGGCAGGAGTTTGTAATTAGTTGTCTGCCTGAGACAGAAACTCTAGAGACAAAGCAGCAGTTGTGTAGTTATCAGTCTTTTTGTTTTCTGCCATCAGTTTTAGTTCAACATTTTATTAAGATCATTAACAGCTTTTGATTTAGAGGAAGATTTTTTTTTTGATATCACTGTTTATGTCTTAACATTTGATGTCTACTTTTCTGCGATTTTGTCCTGGGAGCTGCAACAAAAACACCAAAAACTGTCTAACCAGCTGGCACAGTAAGTTATGCATGGTCACAATGTTTAATTATATCTACTTTCAGGTAGACTTGAATACACTTGCACTGTTTATAGCTACATTAATCTTCACATAGTTAAATCATTATGGTGCATGTTTTTTTTATCATCTCTGACAGAAGAAATTTTCTCATTCTTACCCACAGCAACTGAGAAAGCTACATAACACAATGCGATGGGTCTCATGTTGTTGTTTTGTGGAAGAGCTGTACATCTGTGTTGGTCTGTTTGCCTTGGTTACGGTGTTGACCATGGCTGTTGTATCTGGGTGTGGAGCTTACTGTACTGTTGACCCTGAGATGGAGAAGTGTTGATTCTGACTGGTTTGTGTTGACCTTTGTCCCTTCTGTGTTGACCTGCTAAACTCAAGAAAATGCGCATACTCTGTCTTTGTAAGGAAACATCTGGTGAAAAGTCAAGATTCACCAGATACTTATTTACTAACATGCAAAGTGTATGTCTGTGTATTAAAGTGCTAATTACCTGATGAGAAACTATTGCTTTTTGTGTGTCCTCAGGATTGTTACAGATTCATGGAGAAGGCACTGACAGTAGTTCTGCCTCTTTTTCTTACACTTTGTGTGAACGTGCCAGAAGTTGGCGGACAGAAGGAGGGATCCCAGGATGACAACAAAGGTTCATCACGTTCTTCAGAAACAAAAACAGGCCGGTGCTCTTACACCTTCATAGTGCCTCAGCAGAAATTGACTGGGGCGCTGTGTCTGAACACGCAGCCTGCTCCTACCAACCATTCAGAAGTGTCAGCCTTATGGGCAGAGCTCAAACGACAGCAGGAACTACTAGAGAAGCTAAGAAGCCAACTGGAGCAGGAAGGGGCCCTTGCCATTGAAGTAAGGGCCTTGCGCAAAGAGAGCAGCAGTATGAATTCTCGCATCAGCCAGCTCTATGCTCAGCTGCTACATGAAGTTATAAACAAGAAAGATCAGGCCTTGGAGCAGCAAAAGGTGGAGAACCTTCTGCTAAATGCGACAGCACAGGTGAGTCTAGAGCAGCGGAACTAGATGTTATACTCATCATTGTCAAATGTATCCTTATGCTGTGAATGGTTGGACATCTCAGGCACTGCAGGTGTCCAGGGATTACAGGGAGCTGGAGAAGAAATATGGAGCCCTCACCTCTATGATGAGTTCACACAACCAGTTTATTGCCCGTTTGGAGAAGAAGTGCCAGTGCAGGGACTCTGCCCAGTCCCCTCAAGTAGGGGCAAAAAAACAAATCTTACATCTGCCTATTTATACAAGATTTATAAAAAAGGACTCAGAATATTTTTTGGATTGTTTTTTTTTTCTTTTTTGTCTGAACAGGTCGTTACTGAACCACCCAAAAGCCAGTCAAATGTGCATCTGAATTACAGTTCTGAAACCAACCAAATGACCAATGATGTTCAACGGGACCAAAGTGCTCTCCCATTAGAGCAAGCTCAAACAGGGGGAGTTCCTTTCCATCCCCCCACTGCCACCAGCAGTCCTACAGACCCTTCCTTCTTTAGCTTTCCTGTCACAAAAACTCCAGGTAGGTCAATATGCAAGCTTGTTTCCAAAAAAGTTTGAATGCTGTGTTAGATGTAAATAAAACTCGGAGTAATTCTTCACTTCAACACAATATTAAACATGAATTCTACTGAATATAGTTCAAAGAAAACACATCAAATGTGGGAAAAATGTTTATGTTGGCACAGGGTCATGTTTACCCCACATTACATCTCTCCTTGAGTTAACAACGCCATATTTGGGAATTGATGAGACCAACTGCTGTAGGTCTAAAAAAGGTTTTCCCAGCATTAATTGTGCCTCCACAGATATGCAAGTCACCCATGCTATGACAGATAGTGGTCTTTTAACCATGCACTGATAACAAACCAGATGGTTCCTCTCTTCTTCTGTGTCGAGGGTACAACACCCATATCAAACACAATTTCTGTTTTCACTGAAATAATCTTGGCCCAGAAAGGAAGTGAACCTTCCTGCGTGTAATGTAGTAGTGAATGTGTGTGTGTGTGACTGTATCAATGAAGCTTGATGGTTGAGCGCTCTGTCATCGTAGAAAGCACTTACTTTATGCATCTTGACAAATCTTTCTATCGTTTTATTTACATTTTGAACAACATCTCGGCTTCTTCAAAGATGGAGTTGAAAACATGGTTTATAGTAGCACCTGATTAGAGTTATTTGGTGTTTATATATATGTCTATCTCCTGTCAGATTTATTTAACTGCTTAGATAAGCACTAGTGGCTGTTGGAGTCAGTGACCTGCTATTATCTGTCCACCCTGGGAACCTCAGCTTCTGAAAACAGCAGCTCTTGTCACAGCACAAAACACTTTCTAATGAAGACATGCACAGAACAGTTTTTGAACTTTTTATAACACTTCCCTTTTGAACTTGCAATTACAAACCAGAGAATATGAGCTGCAGAACCCAAAAGGATGAAACATCTGTGTAACTCAACACTTCCTCCAGTGTGTAATGAGAAAGAGAGAGAGAGTTCAAGTCATGACAGACCATTAGGGCTTATCACTTGGTGTGGGAGTCTCTCTTCTTTGTATACATTGTTGTTTGTGCACATTCCTGTGTCTATCTTACCAGTGTGGCATGAGACACTGAATATGTGCTGGAAGAGAAATAATAAGATCTGTGATTTTCCTGATGTCCAAACTGAATTTCAAAACCCTCTGTTAGAAGCTTCCTGTTGGGTTTTCCAGTGTCCTATATTTTTTTTAAAGCCATAAAAGACCTCTAAAGATATCTTCCATGTTCGTACTTAATACTAAAAAATGTTATATGTTGTAATATTACATCACTATAATTGCATGTTGCTTTTATTAGTCACCTTGCTTGTATTTTCCCTTCACTCAGGGCCATGGCGGGACTGTCAGCATGTGTTGGAATCAGGTGAAACTACCAGTGGGATCTATTTGCTCCGGCCGCAGAGTTCCAACCGACTCCTGCAGGCCTGGTGTGAACAGAGTCAAGCTCAGGGAGGGTGGACGGTCATCCAGAGGAGACAAGATGGGTCAATCAACTTCTTTAGAGACTGGGAACAGTATAAGGTATAAGTCTGAAACTAGCAATTTAATTAAACACAATCAAGTATTTCATTGTGAACCTAAGAGTGTTACAAATACAAATTTACTTCCACTTAAAAATCACTTAAAACCTATGTTGTTTTAAAAAAAATGCACATAAAGAATATCATCAAATTAAAATCAGTAACAGCTGCAAAACTTTAAAGTCAAAATGAAAAACTCTAGATAAAATGTCTGGGATCATTTTGAAATAAATGAAGTCTCACTGTCTCTCAGGCTTAAAAGAGAAGAACTTTGCATCTTTACATTCGTCTAATAAAATTAGTGAGTAAATACCAGCTTTATAATAAGTGAGTGAGCAGTGATCTTAACTAAACAAATGAAACTCAAACTCTTCCGAACTGGATGCAACAGAAATGAAACATGACAAAGGCTACACTCATTTTACTTATCCATCCATCTTCTTGCACTTATCCAATTCAGGGTTGCGGGGGAGCTGGAGCCTATCTCAGATGTCATAGGATGAGAGACATACAACCATTCACACACATTCACATCTATGGGCAATTTTAAATCAGTTAACCTAACCTCACTGACTGCATGTCTTTGGACTCTGGGTGGAAGCTGGAGTTCCCAGAGAACATGCAAACTCCACATAGAAAGGCCCCAGATTGAACCCAGGCCCGTCTTGATCATGAGGCAACAGTGCAACGCTAATTAGTATTAATAAGGAGAAAGGGCTTGATATTATCAATAGATAAAAAGTAATAAGTGAAAACATACCACAAACTTGATTAAAACAGATCCTGGAGGTGTGCACGTATGCTCTTAAGAGCTAATAAATCTACTAGACATCGCTTAGTCTGGAGATCTGCTGTCTAAGTGTTGCCATGATGAATTTGTGCAACTTAGAGTGATTAAACCTGGTTAATCATGTTTTACAGCAAGGCTTTGGGAACCTAGATGGAGAGTACTGGCTTGGTCTGGAAAACCTGTACTGGTTGACCAAACAGGCTCAGTATAAGTTGCGGGTGGCCCTGGAAGACTGGCGTGGCCGGCAGGTGTTTGCTGAGTATGACAGCTTCTATGTGGAACCAGAGAGCGACTGGTATCGACTGCGGTTGGGACTGTATCACGGCAATGCAGGGGACTCCCTCTCCTGGCACAGCAACAAGGCCTTTACCACTTTGGATCGAGACAAAGACAGCTATGGCGGTCTGCTCTTCCCCTGGTCCTACCTGATTGCTATCTGCTGTATAGTGACATTTCCCTTTTAACATCTTCATTTTCTTCTGTTGTGTCATCAGGTAACTGTGCTCATTATCAGAAGGGAGGCTGGTGGTATCACATGTGTGCCCACTCCAATCTGAATGGTGTGTGGTATCGTGGTGGACACTATCGAAGCCGGTACCAGGATGGCGTTTACTGGGCAGAGTTCCATGGAGGATCGTACTCCCTTAAACGGGTTTGCATGATGATCAAACCCAAATAACAAGGTTATCTTATGGACATGTGCAAAGGAAAGACATGATGTGGATGATCTTCACATATGTGCAGAAAGAATAAAACAAACTCTATTTGTAACTCTACGTTTAATAAAAAGGATATTTTAAAATTAACCTAGTCTGTGACATGTGCATGAAATGAATAACCGGATGATGACTAATATTGACTAACTTGAGAAATCTGCTGTCGGTCGTGCAACTTCCTAAAAGAATTTGTATTCCTCAACATTTTTTTTTTTAAATTGCATAATTTTTCACTCCCATTTGGACAAAAAAACAGGGGAGAGAAACAAAAAACACTTTGTGAAAGACTACATTAAAAAATTACATAAAATATGGGAGGAGGACAACCTATAAGCAACCGTTACTCCACAAAGGGCTGGCTGCAGATGTGGTTTTGTATTTTGGGCTTCACAGAGTTTCCTGTACACAAGGGCGTTAAATTTCCTCTCTAGTTTTTTTTTCTGCCTGTGAAACTTTTAGTCGGTCATCATAAGTAGAATCTGCATCGAGCTGACGTTCATTTAACCCAGGTCCTGAAGCTGGATAGTCTCTGGATGCTCCTGAAACACTGCTCCATTCACCTCATTCCTTCTGCATGCTGTCCAAGCATGCTGCCTGTCAGGATGCTGAGCATTCTCATCCTCCTCTTTTCACTGTGCAGTGAGTAATAATGATGCTCTGCAAGAACTCTGTGTGTATGGGAAAAACTATTTCATTGAATTGTTAGGAATAAAAATTAGGTTTTTAACTTTTAGTGTCTTGATGGTGTGATCAGTTTTGATACTGGAATGTTATTAGTGATGGTAACTGCAAAAGCTAAAACTAATAATAAGATCATGTTTCATGAAATACTCCCCTTTTAAGTTTTCATGACTCTATGTGGACTTGTGAAAAACATATTTCTTTTTGGTTACATGGTTCAGTAGCTTTCAAAACAAACCTTAGCAGTAGTGACTTGTAGTAATTATTTTAAACTATCGTTTTGTTGTGTGTTGTTTCGACCATTGTACGGTCTGACGGTCAGGATTTACATAGAATTTGGACCCAGGTGCAGATTTTGAGAAGGTTTAAACAAACTGAAAACTAACTTTTATTTCGACCCGAGGCAGTAAATTCACAAGACTGACAGAAAACAGACTCCAACAAACCACACAGGCGGATAAACAGTAGAACAGGATGAATAACTGAGGGGAGACAAAGGCTATAAATACATATAAGGTCATTGGAACAATGGGAAACACTAGGGAAAGACAAGCTAGCTAATCACAGGAGACAAGACAAGGGAAGTAAAACAAAACACAGTGAATGCCAGATGAGGGACTAACAAAATAAAACAGGAAGTAAGCAAATACGGGAACATCGTGGGAACAGAAAAGCTGACTTGACAAAGAGAACAAAGGAATGTAGGGAAATAACCACTGCAAATGAACTAAAACTAGAATAGAATAATCTAAATGAGAAGAATAGAGACCAAACTAATCAGAAAATATATGGTAATAATATAATAAACAAAACTAAATGTTAAACTAAAATGTTTAAGTAGAAAATCCAGAGTCATGTGTGGACGTCCACGCCTGAAAGGATGATCAATTAATAGTGCATTTCATTAGTACAGCCTGGCTGCTACATACCCTCTGAAACCCTATAGGAGCAGTGAGGATGCACTTTGTTTTTCAACATTAATGCGCAGAATCCTGTGGGAATTTTCATTTTCACAGGATTGCATTTATTTATAATGTTTGAGTTTATTAGAATAACTGTTTTTAAATAACAGACAGCATTTGAATACATTTATAAATAAAGACAAATCAGCTTTTTAGCAGCTTTAATCAGTTAGCACCTGTTCTGCCTTAATAACAACTACACAGCAACTGGTAGGCTCATTTGGGTCCCCATGTTGCTCTCTTTTTGGGTGTGTCTTTTTCTTGAATGTGCAGTTGGGCCCATAATTTGTTGAACAAAGACATAGTTTTGCCTCTGAACAGTCAAGATATGACAAAAATGCAGACTTTCAGCTTCAGTTCAAGGGGGTATACAGTCTATAGGGCTATAGAGCTAATAAAAGTCCAATAAAAACATTATTCTTGTCTATTCATAGATGCTGACAGCATATGCACAACAGAGTTGAAGACAGATCCACCTGAGATTATTGCAGAATATGGAGGAATTCCTGTAATTGTAAACTGTACCACCAGACTGGGCGATCATTACGGACTATACTGGAGAGTCGGGAATGAAAGCTCTGACACTGAAGATGAAGAAATGTTTATCTCCCACTTAGTGCCAGTGTCAGACTGGAATGTGACGGCCGAGTGCAAAATGAAGTTTAATGAGTCTTATGAATGCAGCAAGGAACTCAAAGTTATTTTATTCAGTAAGTTTAATTTGAATTGAATACAGTACAATGCTAAGAAAATAAATAAATGTTGACATTAACTAACTTTGCTTAATTTTGTTTGCCAGATAATCCAGAAGTTTTTCATTCTGTACAGCTTGTGAATGTGATAGGAGAAGAAACACAGTACAGACTGCAGTGCGATATAATCAATGTTGCTCCTGTTCAGTATGTCACTGTTAGCTGGTACAAAAACAGTGAAAAAATCCAGACAGAATCTTTCAATGACACAACAACCAAAACTCCAGTAAATGAGTCCTCTATTCTGAGAGTCAACATCAGCAGAGAAGAAAATGTAGTAGAGTTCAGATGTGAAGCTCAGCTGGACTTTGGACCACACAGACCAAAACTTCCTGCCATTTCTAAAACACACAGAGTTTCAGCCCACTGTGAGTAAATATCCTGCTGTTTACACATGAACAGAAGTTTATTTTTATTTTTTTTAAAGATTAAACACAAGTTCCCTTCTGTTCAGCTTTCAATTGTGTAAATGTGAGAACTGATAAAAAACTGTTTATCGTTTCAGACGCTCCGGAGCTAAAGACACAAAATAGTGCTGATGACACTTATGCACTTGAGGGCACTAACATCACATTGAGCTGTGAAGCTGTTGGAAACCCTCTTCTTGTGTATAACTGGATTTGTGATGGGAAAAACATGTTGGAGAACACAACCAGTCTCAGTTTACCTCAAGTACATGGCAATAAAACCTGCGCATGCACAGCTACCAATTATCTGGGAAACATAACTAAGACAATCCATCTTCATGTTGAACCAAGAGGTATATATTCTTACTTCACATCTAAAATTGTGGATGATTTAGATGAAACTGCTGACTTATGTCTTATTTTACACCAAATCATCTCTAACTCTGAATATATTTGCTTGTGAATGGCAGGTTGCCCACTAACACTGACACCTTCTGAAACTGTTGTGAAATTTGGAGATCCAGTTGCAATCAACTGCAGCACATCAGCCAGATATGTTGAAGGAATGGGCTGGGAGGCTCCATTTGGAGGTACAGGATTTGAGCGTCCTCCTGTTGTCACTTGGAGGGTTGAAAAACTAGAAGAGTGGACTCCAAGTCCTTCCTGCTATGCTACTTTGGTTGATGGATCACAGTGTACTGTGAGTCCAGTCATCACTGTTTACAGTAAGTACATGAGACCACAATGTCCACAATGCTTTATTGTGTTATAAACTATATGAATTGAAATTTGTAATATGATATAGCAATGATTTCGCTTATTTATTTACAGAAACTCCAGATTCTGTGTCAGTGTCTGACATGGGTCATGGTTCAATGGTGGAGGGCAGAGAGTATGATCTGAAATGTGACATCATCAATGTTGCTCCTGTTCAGTATGTCACTGTTAGCTGGTACAAAAACAGTGAAAAAATCCAGACAGAATCTTTCAATGACACAACAACCAAAACTCCAGTAAATGAGTCCTCTATTCTGAGAGTCAACATCAGCAGAGAAGAAAATGTAGTGGAGTTCAGATGTGAAGCTCAGCTGGACTTTGGACCACACAGACCAAAACTTCCTGCCATTTCTCAAACACACAGAGTTTCAGCCCACTGTGAGTAAATATCCTGCTGTTTACACATGAACAGAAGTTTATTTTTATTTTTTTTAAAGATTAAACACAAGTTCCCTTCTTTTCAGCTTTCAATTGTGTAAATGTGAGAACTGATAAAAAACTGTTTATCATTTCAGACGCTCCGGAGCTAAAGACACAAAATAGTGCTGATGACACTTATGCACTTGAGGGCACTAACATCACATTGAGCTGTGAAGCTGTTGGAAACCCTCTTCCTGTGTATAACTGGATTTGTGATGGGAAAAACATGTTGGAGAACACAACCAGTCTCAGTTTACCTCGAGTACATGGCAATAAAACCTGCGCATGCACAGCTACCAATTATCTGGGAAACATAACTAAGACAATCCATCTTCATGTTGAACCAAGAGGTATATATTCTTACTTCACATCTAAAATTGTGGATGATTTAGATGAAACTGCTGACTTATGTCTTATTTTACACCAAATCATCTCTAACTCTGAATATATTTGCTTGTGAATGGCAGGTTGCCCACTAACACTGACACCTTCTGAAACTGTTGTGAAATTTGGAGATCCAGTTTCAATCAACTGCAGCACATCAGCCAGATATGTTGAAGGAATGGGCTGGGAGGCTCCATTTGGAGGTACAGGATTTGAGCGTCCTCCTGTTGTCACTTGGAGGGTTGAAAAACTAGAAGAGTGGACTCCAAGTCCTTCCTGCTATGCTACTTTGGTTGATGGATCCCAGTGTGCTGTGAGTCCAGTCATCACTGTTTACAGTAAGTACATGTGTACAACTTTGTTAGTGTATTATAAACAGCATGAACTGACAGTTTTTATATAATAAAACAATGATTTCTCTTCCTGAAAGTGCCACTGTAAATGCTCAGATATGATGGTGGAGGCTGCATGGAAGTGATTCTAAGTTGTCCATAGGAGTGAAAGATTATCTCTTTTTATGTGACATATTGGTGACCAGCCCAGTGTGGACTCTAGCGCTTCCCTAATGACAGCTGCCCTTGGTTTATCCCCATAGAAGACTCTCAATTGAAAAGGAGAAGAAAATGGATGGATGGATGAATGGATTTTTAAAATTGATTTTTCTTTGCTCTGTTCACAGAAACACCAAACATTGTGTCAATATATCCACTGAATCAAAGTCAAATGATGGAGGAACAAGTACACATAGTGCCTTACAATAAAGAAACAAGAACACAATATTGGTTACGGTGTGACATCATAAATGTTGCTCCTGTTCAACATCTGACTGTGAGATGGTACAAAAATAATAAAACCATCCAGACAGAGTCTTTCAATGACACAACAACTAAAACACTGGTAAATGAGTCCTCGATTCTGAGAATCGACATCAGCAGAGAAGAAAAAGCCACTGAGTTCAGATGTGAAGCTGAGCTGGACTTTGGACCACATGGACTAAAACTTCCTGCCATTTCTCAAACACACAGAGTTTCAGCCCACTGTGAGTAAAAATGTTGAGGTTAACACACAAACAGAAGATTATTTAATTGTATTTTTTAGGCTAGATTAAACAAAAGTTCTATTCATTACAGCTTTCTATTATGTAAATGTGAAAATGATAAGAAAAACTGTCTCTTCAGATGCTCCTGAGATCAACACAAGTTGTACTGTTGACATCTCACCACTTGAGGGCACTAACATCACATTGAGCTGTGAAGCTGTTGGAAACCCTCCTCCTGTGTATAACTGGACTTGTGATGGGGAGAATATGTTGGAGAACACAAACAGTCTCAATATTACTCGAGTCGATCGCAACAAAACCTGCACCTGCACAGCTACCAATTATCTGGGAAACATAACTAAGACAATCAATGTTCATATCACACCAAGAGGTACACATCTTTTATTATTATTTAGTTGTTATTTATTTCTTAAATTTATTTTTATTTGATCTCTAATGTTGTGGGTGTTATTCTTTTGTTGTGGGTCTTATTTTTGATTTGATAACAAATCATGTCTAACTGAAGGTATTGTGAATGGCAGGTTGTCCTCTAACTCTGGCACCGTCTGAAATGGTTGTGAGATTTGGAGATCCAGTTTCAATCAAATGCAGCACATCAGCCACAGATGTTGCTGAAATGGCCTGGGTGACTCCTGCTGGAGACAAAGAATTTAAACCTGGTTCTGATGTCACTTGGATGGTTAAAAACCTGAAATGGTGGACTCCAAGTCCTTTCTGCAGCATCACTCTAAATGACAATTTTCAGTGTTCTGTGAGCCCAGTCATCATTGTTTATAGTAAGTACATCTGTCAAAACTGCATTATTGTACTAGAAATTAAGATGAAACAGGCTATGATGTAAAATACTTTTATTTATTTATTTTTGTATAACAAAGGCATAATTTCAGTTTGCTGACACTGCAACTTTGAAGACGATGTTGTCGAGTAACCTGCTGTAACTCTGATCCAAATGTTGTACTTTCATGTAGAACTGTGAAGAAGACTCTGTTAGTGGCAAGAAAAACCCAACCTTTTAATATCAATGCATTTATGCATTCATTGGTCTCATATTGATGCTAACAAGCGCATCCATTTGTCATATGTTGTAAATGTATTTTTTACTTTGCTTCATTTGCAGAAACCCCAGAGACCGTGTCAATCTCTGAAATGAATCATGGTCTGATGTTGAAGCACAAAGAGGACAAGCAGTACACCAAGACACAATACAAACTGCAGTGTGACATCATCAATGTTGCTCCTGTTCAGTATCTCACTATTACTTGGTATAAAAACAATAAAATCATCAAGACAGAATCTTTCAGTGACACAACCAAAACACCAGTAAATGAGTCCTCTATTCTGAGAGTCAACATCAGCAAAGAAGAAAAAGTCGTTGAGCTCAGATGTGAGGCCAAGCTGGACTTTGGACCACGTGGACCAAAACTTCCCGCTATTTCTCAAACACACAATGTTTCAGCCCACTGTGAGTAAACATCCTGCTGTTTACACAAAAACAGAATATTTCTTGGATTTTTTCATTTCTAAACTGAATTTAACAATGTGAAAATGAGGCATACAACATGTAATTATTTAAACGAATAACAAACATCTTTTTGTCTCTTCAGATGCTCCAGAGGTAAACACAAAAGATAGTAATCATGACTATCTACTTGAAGGTTCTAATATCACCTTGAGTTGTGAAGCTGAAGGAAACCCTCCTTCTGTCTATAACTGGACTTGTGATGGGGAGAATATGTTGGCGAACACAAACAGTCTCAATATAACTCGAGTAAATCGCACTAAAACCTGCACCTGCACAGCTGCCAATTATCTGGGAAGCGTAACCAAGACGATCAATGTTCATGTTGAACCAAGAGGTACACGTCTTTGTTTATTTCAAGCCTAATATTGCTGTGGGACATTTAGAGGACACTGATGACTAAAGAGAAGTGTTAGCTGATGTTTAAATTGATCAATGTATTTTAGGAAGTTTTGAGAAGTAAACTTTGGTTTTATTTTTTTTATCTTACAGGTAAAACCAATAAAATCACTTTTGCAGTCATTTGGGCTTTGCCATTTGTAGCAGCCATCATCATCTCCATCTTCATTGTGTTCTACTGTTGCAATCAGTGGAAAAAACATGGACATTATAGTTTTGTTTCTGACAAAGATATCCCTTTGACACAAACTAATGGAAACAAATAAGATATCTGCTGCTTTCTGTAAATCGAAGCAAAAACTTAATTTAATGTGCTACCTAATTATTTTTCTTTCATTAAAAAAGAAGTTCTACACCCATTTCATACACTTGTATAAAAAACTCCAAGCTTCACATTCCTGGAAATGTGGGCCCACCCACTTCAACAATGGATCCATGCTGATGGGCTTTTAAAAAAAGTTTTATTTTCTATTATTTCTATTACTTTTCTATTAATTAAATAAATATTTAAAAAAAAAATTATGTCATGTGTTTTCCTTTCTTAAAAAACAAGTAATCAAAAGATAAATAAAAAAAATAATAAATATCACAAGCAAAGTCTGACTACAGAGGCAGTTTCACATTGACCAATAGCTGTTAAATCTGAAATCGCATGTAAGGGTTCAGAGATTTCTCAGGCAGCAGATAATAAAACTTAGAAACTTAACACATCATGTAAGGAAATTTGAGTTTAATATTTTTTTTGTTATAACAATGGTTTTTTTTGCAATAAATCTTACACTGTTGGAAAAAAACATACATAGAGACAAGAGCCCGGCACAGCTTCCTTATCCTGGTCACCAGCTTTTCACACACTGCCAGTCAGTGGTTGTGCTGCTCACTCTGGCACAAACAGGATGTCCAAGCTGATCTCCAAATGTTCATTGAGATTGAGGTCAGGACTGCAGACAGACAAAATGAGCTTCCTCTGTACACAGGCTGGGGTCAGTCTTAGAGATAGGATGAGAAGAGGTATTCTCAGCCTAACTGGCAACCATGGCAGACCCTGGGAGAGACCCAGACCCCCGTGGAGAGATTATATATCTCATCTGGCCAGTTCCCAAGAGGGGAACTACTGTACTGCGTGAGGAAGTTAAGTGTCAGAGGCATGTGATGGTGATTAGTATTTTATGCAGGATTCTTCATAATCTATGATACTCACAATCTGTATCTGTTATCTGTAAAGTCAGCACAATACGTGTGTGTAAATGAGAAGGACACATGCGTAACAATGAAGCTGCAAGGAGTAAAGATAGTGAAGGTAGATGTGTTTAAATACCTGGTAATGTGGGGTCAATCACCCAAAGCAATGGACATTGTACAAGTAAGATTAATAAGAGAGTGCAGTCAGGGGTTCCTTGTGCCAGAAGAATAGCAGCAACGGTGAAAGTTGAAGGTTTGCAAGATGATAGTGAGACCTGTGTCTCATGTGTGATGTTTGAAGATGGTGGCACTAACAAAAAGACAGGAAGTGGATCTGGATGTAGCAGAGTTGAGGGTGTTAAGTTTTTTATTGGGAGTGGTCATTATGGACATACTTAAGAGTCCATCCGTCCGTCCTCTTCCACTTATCTGCGGCCGGGGCCAGCAGCCCAAGCAGAGAAGCCCAGACCTCTCTCTCCCCAGCCACCTCCTCCAGCTTGTCCAGGGAACACCAAGGTGTTCCCAGGCCAGCCGAGAGATATAATTTCTCCAGCGTGTCCTGGGTCTGCCCCAGGGCCCCCTCCCAGTAGGACAATGCTGGAACACCTCACCCAGGAGGCGCCCAGGAGGCATCCTTGTCAGATGCAAAAAAACACCTCAACTGGCTCCATTCGATGGGAAAGAATGGACTCTTAAGTATGTCCATAATGAGCCCCTCCCGGATTGCTAAGCTTCTCACCCTATGCGGGGATGCGATCACAACCATTAGTAGCATGTAATGTAATTCCCATCATGGGAGATTTTCCACTGGAGCAGTCTCGTGATGACATCCTATGCTCAGCCTTTGACCAAGTGATTGAAATTGATGCTTACGTGGTGTGCCCTGAAGCCATGCGGACCTACCTGTGTTTTGTATTTTTAAAAGATAGGCTGTATCGAGTGAGTTGTGACACTTGCACGGAGGAGACACACACCCACTTGTTGGTGGCTCACTATAACCCCATGGCAGGGCAGGGCATAGGGGGTTTGACAAGAGCGAATTATGACCCAATTTTTTTGGCCAGGCATCCGAGAGGATGTGCGCTGCTGGTGCGCATCCTTTCTGGAATGCCAACTTATTAACCAGCCAACCATACCAAAAGCACCTTTGTGCCCCCTACCATTAATGTAGGTCCTCTTTGAACTTATTGACTGGGTTGTTGGAGTGGCTGAATTTATTCCCTTTGAACTGCTGTTCAGCAGGAAGCTGCGTGGGGTGCTCGACCTGATTAAGGAAAGCTGCGAGGAAGGTCCAAGCCCCTCAAAGAATGAAATTCAATCCGTGCTGGACCTGAGAGTAAAAATCCACACACTGGGGAGGTTGATTTGGGAGAATTTGCTCCAGGCTTAGCAATGTCAGCATTGCCTGTATAACAGAGAGGCCACACTCAGGCAATTTTCACCCGGAGACAAAGTTCTTGTATTACTCCCTTCTTCTAGCTCAAAATTACTCACCAAGTGGCCAACACTCTTCAAGCCAAGGATCATCAAAGATTGCAATCTGCCTCAGAGTGCAGAATTGGATGAGGTGCTTGTTTCTGCACAGCATGATCCTGACGAGGGTGTATGGGACTGTGAAGTGTCTGCCGTCCTTCTGCTGCTTAACTTGTTACCTCCAATATCTAAGGGAAGAAAGTCTTCAAAGATTAGCACATCTAATGCTGCTGACCACCTGATGAAATTCATGAAGGTGGGAGGAAGCGTGGAGGTTTTTCTCAAGGAAACCGGCCCCACTCAGCCCTTCCTCCTGTGTCTTCTACACTTTCATCCAGACCACGATGTATGGCATTGATGTTGGCAGTGTGAAGGAGAATCCTTGGATCAGGGAAATCAGAGCAAGAATTCTTTACAGTACAGTTTGAATACATCCACTATTCAGCACTTTGACTGGAAAAGTTCATCTGTTACATTTGTAAGATACTCCACACAAGTTACTCAGTGGTATTTAGACATTTGAATTACCAGCATGGTTTGTACCCAGGAACGTTTTTGCATTTGACCTGCGGAGAGCCTGAATGTTCATTTATCATTTGCATGTAGTCTGCTTACAAGCAGCACTTCCCAAACAGACGGAGACTGTGTTGATTTGGATATCACCAGCAATTTTGATTTTGAGCCCGTACCTAATGATGGAGCCTCCGGCTTCATTAAATATAACACAGGAAAAGAGAGAGCGAGAGAGCTCATTAACTAAAACACCACACACCTGTCCCACCAACCTCTCTGGCACTGCCCCTTGAACTCACTGCACCACCCCTTCCCTGCAGCTGAGCCAGGGAGCACACCTTCGTCACACTCACCATTTCCAACACCAGGCCAAAGAGAGAAGAACTTCACATCTTTACGTTCACCGTTCACCAAGTAAAAATTGGGAGTAAATGACAGCTTTATAGTAAGAGAGTGAGCAGTGATGGTATGGAACTAATAAAGAAATGAAACTCAAACTTTAATAAACTGCATGCAATAGAAGTGAACAACTGATGCATTTATTTATTTAGATAAATGCTAACTGACCTCTATAATTTATGTAGAGGAAGGCAATATTGCTTCTACTACATAATCTATTCATTAGACATTGCTTACTTTAGAACTAAATATAACAGCTTCTATGTGGAACCTGACAGTGACTGGTAACAGCTACAGTCGGGTTAATATCATAGCAATCCAAGGGGACTCCCTCTCCTGGCACAATGTCTCACCAGTTTGGATTCCACTTCCACTGATCCCATCTGATTGCTGTCTGCTGTATGTTGACTTTTTCCCATTAATGTGGTTATTTAAATTATCATAAATGAGCCTGGTAGTATCAAATATGTGCCCAATCCAATATGAATGATGTGTGGTATCGGAGTGGACACTACTTAACCAACCTGAAGAGAGTTTCCATGGTGATCAAACTCACATAACAAGGTTAAATTATGGACATATGCAAAGGTAAGACATGATGTAGATGATTTTCACATGTGTAGAGAGAATAAAACAAACTTAATCTGTGTCTGTGTGTTTAATAAAAACATTATTTTCAACTTAACCCAGTCTGTGAACTGTTTGTGTACCAGAACTCCAAAAAAAAAAAAGAACAGAAATCAAAACCCAAACAATAAACACATTTCTTAAATTTCAAAACCTAAGAAAATCATGTACAGGATCATAACAAACTCATACACTATTGAGGTACTTAAGTGGAGTTTCAACTTATGTAAATAGTCTAAATATGAAACATGAATCATGATTTGCATCTCCAAAGCGTGAAATGGACACGGTGGACTGAGATGTCATTAAACATTTTGCTGTGATACTGGGTTGTGGTAGGACATGCCTAGAAGGGCCAGGAGGCATCCTGATTTAATGCCTGAACCACGCCAACTGGCTCTTTCAATTTGGAGAAGAAGTAGCAGCTCTATTCTGAGCCCCTACCAAATGCCCAAATGCCCAAATTCCTTGTGTCATTTTCACTATGTCCTTTGCTACAAGTGAAAAACCTGGGTGTTATTTTTGACTCTGAGCTTGGTTTTATCCCACATGTTAAACATGTAACCAAAATTGGATTTTATCATCTAAAAAATATAGCCAGAGTCCGCCCTATTCTCTCTCGGGCCAACACGGAGATGCTGATGCATGCTTTTATTACCAGTCGCATTGATTACTGTAATGCCCTGCTCTCTGGTCTTCCTAAGAAGAATATTTAAACTTTACAACTCTTGCAAAACTCGGCAGCTCGTGTGCTGACGAAGACCAGAGGGCGGGCCCACATTACACCGGTTTTAGAATCGCTGCACTGGCTCCCCGTGTGTTTCAGGATCGATTTTAAAGTTCTTTTATTGGTTTTTAAATGTCTTAATGGTCTTGGGCCTTCTTATCTCTCAGATCTGCTTTTACCATACGAACCCTCGCGGACCCTGAGGTCCTCTGGTACTGGCCTTTTGATTGTCCCTAAAGTCAGGACACATACTCACGGAGAGGCAGCTTTTCAGTGGTATGGTCCTCGTCTGTGGAACAGCCTGCCGGAGGCGCTCAGGGCCGCAGAGAACGTACATGTTTTTAAGAACAGGCTCAAGACCCACCTTTTTAATTTAGCTTTTACTTAGCGTTTATTTATTTTATGCTTATTTATTCTATCCTGTTATTCTATTATTAATTTAGGATTTACCTAATATTTCTTGATTTTATTCTTATTCATTTTTTAATCTTCTTACTCTATTTATATTTATATTTATATT